AGTCATGTGTGAGGACTTGTTTCAGGAATGAAGGAGTGAAGTTTTTGAGTATCTTGGAGTATCGACGTGTGTTTGCGTTTGTGTGAAGAGAGTGATGTGAGGAGAGTTTGTGTGTGAGTTGGAGTGATACATGGAGAGTTTGTGAGAGAAGGTGTTTGGCACATTAGTGTGAGGATGAATCCTAGTCTTCTAGAACCATGATGCGCTACCGCAAAGCCATCAGAGGTAAACCTCAGTGAGAGTCAGCCCGGAGGTTGCAGCCCAGCGAGGCGACTCGTTGCTTCCAAGTCCGCCAAGTTGATTTGAGTGTAGGAGACAAATGGGACGAAGCTGTGAATTCAAGATCAATGTTCCAAAGCTCTGATACCACTGTAGGGATTTCAATCCCCATAACCTACAGAAAATCACAGTCCACACACCATAGATACACAAGCATTTGTCGACGAGGTTCAGCTTGAAAGCCTACTCCCCGCGAACTCCTCAATGAAGGCAGTTCGAGTATATATATCCAAGATCAATTTCTTCAGACTTGACCTTCCTATCTGCCATTACAAGGTTTCAGTCTACTAAGAACTACACACAAGAAATCACTACTGTCTCCCGAGCAAGACTAACACTTCCTCACAGTTGATTACCTCCCGTAGGTGTCTCCCCGTTCTCACTCTCGACTATTCTTGAAAACCTTATCTCTGTAATGCTCCTCGCCCTAGTTCGCTGACTGGACTTATATCATCCCGACTTCTAACGGTACCTTAAACGGTAAAGATCAGAATGAATCAAAACCGTAAACTCCTACACAGCCCATAGGATATAGACCCATCTGCGAGCTAATACTAAACAACAAATAATCTAAAAAGAAAAGACAAACAACTGAAGCTGATATCTCACAATCATGACAAATACATCTAAATTCAAATTGAAAATTTATTTCAATATATTTAAAATAATTAAAAATATTTGAAATGATGTTGAACATGATGTTGGTATTTCTGGATTTTCTGGCTATTTTTTATAATTGCAGAGATTATTTAAACCTCATTTGTTTCATTTTGACTAAAGTCAACATCAATATAACATTTTGACCATATGGATATTACAAATATATTATTGGTATAGGTTTGAAGAAAAATGCATGAAATTTTGAAATGATTCCAGACATGGCATGGCATGGCAGTATTGCCCATCAAAACCTCTTTTCTTCTTGCAAGGAACTTTGAATTGCACGCTGAGATTGAAATGAATTGTGATGTTTCTGCAGGACGTAGAGGGACATACGGTCAAGGGGGGACGATTGCCACGGGTGAGTGGTAAAGCTGTGATTCACGTTCTATCACCGTATGTTATCGGGCATTTTGAATTCCGCATGAATTGCATTGCATAGACTTCTCGGAAGCCGACAAAGCATGTGTGTGTGTGTGTTGGTTGGTGCACGCGCGCAGGATATGCTACAAACTCAACTCGAGAATGCGGTTCAACATCCTCTGCGGTGCGGCTGGAGGGCTGGAGTACATGCAAAATGAATGCCGGTCGAAGATGCGCCGTTAATGTATTTCCTGCGGAAGGACATTAACGGCGAAGATGAATTTGAAGAAAGGGAGATCGGATCGAGCCGCATGATGTACATTAACGCGAGGATGTATTTGAAGGAAGGGAGGTCAGATCAACCGTAAGCTTAGACGACGTTGTAACCGCTACGTCAGACGGCACCGCACCTGAGAGTAGTTCATCTTAGGCGGTTGAGATTCCAGAGCTACCATTGTGAATAAAGAGGCCCAATGCTCTTTCCTTGGGGGGACTTTTTTGTCAATTGGCTTGTCTTAGCTGTGAGCCTATATCCACTGTGTATCTGTGTGCTGGTGTGTGATTCAAACATCAAGCACAGTGCGCTCCTGTTTGACAAAGTTATCGCATCAGGAGTTGTGACTGTTCAGCCTGAATGTTCCGAGTAGCCTGGGGTTTCTCGGGATTTAAGCAAATTTGGGTCTTAGTATTTGAGTCAGTATGTCGGATGTATGCACTTTTGGGAAGTTTTCCCCCTGAAATATGAGTGTGGGATCACAGACAATTCCCACAGGTGTTGATTGGACAAATTTCAGGTTGTGAGGGTGAACATATTCTGCTCTACGGATCTTCAGCCGTAAATGAGCAGTGTCTTCTGGAAGTGACATAGGCCTAAGAAGTAAAACTCATCAATAGAATGTTAACATGTGACAAATCGTGACTTTTGTTGTTGTTTCTGTCCTCGTGGGATCGGATTTGTACCATTATGCTCCATTTTGATATTTGTCTGTCATTACAGGGTACAAAAGCTAGCCAAAGTGTATATTTATTTCTGTAAACTAATTGCATCATGTGCTATTAATATGATATCATCTCCATACAAGAAAACTTTGATAACAAAGTTTTTAAGCTTGACATCTTCACTATCACATGCCTCCAATCACTCTTTGATATCATCTATGAAAACTCCAAATAGAGTAGGAGAAAAGGTACAATCTTGAATCACTCCAATGGTACTCAAAACCTCTTCAATTTGAAAAGTAATATGATATCATTTGCATACAAGAGATCTTTGATAACAAAGTTTTCAAGCTTGACACTTTCATTATCACATGCATCCAACCACTCTTTGATATCATATATGAAAACTTCAAATAGAGTAGGAGAGAAAGTACAATCTTGAATTATTCCAATGGTACTCAAAACCTCTTCAATTTGAAAAGTGTTGATCTTGGCTTGAACAAAATGGTATAATGTGGTCACAACTGTTAGAAGATTTGGTGATACTCCAATGGCTTGCAATCTTTTCCATAAGAGCTTAAAAGGTAGAGCTCAAAAGCTCTCTTGAAATTGATGAAGGCGGAAAACAAAGCTATTCCATTGCCCTTCGACATCTTCCATAAAACATACTAGGCCAAGATATGGTCAATTTTGTTGTATGTAGTGCAAAAACCTACTTGAAACAACGCTCTTTTCCTATGAAATTGAGTCCATGTGCTCGACTTTGACTCCACCAATTTGCCAAACAACTTCTCAAAAACAATGTACATCATGATAGTGCGATAGTTTGTCACCAAGTACTTCCTTTCTGACTTATGTATATGAATAATCTTCCACAAAGACCAAGTTGAAGTAAAAACATACATAATAACATTCTTCTAACGCTTCAGTGAGTATTGGTCCAATAACATCTCCTCTTCATTTAAAAAGTTCAATAGAGACATCATTCAAATCCTCTTATTTATCATTTGCTAATTATCTGACTTAAGTCATCATTCCTAATTCAAAAAATAAGCCAAGTATTCCTTCACAACAAGGCATTGATGCAGAGTCAGGAAAGAACTAAAGCTTTTTAGCAAAAGTAATCAAACTCTTGGGTACAAGAGTAGGTTTAGAAGACCAAACATTTAACCGTCTTCAAAAAAATTTGGGATTCTTCATTAGCTCCTTTGTCAAGGATTCTTTCTTTGTCCTCAAAAAAGCTCGTTATTTAGATTTCACCAAGTTTTTGTTAAGCCTTGTCAAGATTAGCCGACTTTGAAGATTCAAACAATTGCCAACTGATTTCATCCTTGCTTGCTTGAAATCAAAGTCAAACCATTCATTGCAAGGAACACTCCTAGCTCTCCAATCCTTAAGCCGCAAAAAGAACTTAAAAGTAGTGTTTTTGAGCAACTCTGTTAGTTGCAAACTTGTTGTATGTGGATCAAGGCTCCATAAAGTGTGGGTCAAAAAATCTTACATGTACATGTAAAGATCATTCTTACTAGAATCTAAACAAAACTTGGGGGAAGCTAAAACAAAATGACATGTAGAGAGAGGTATAGTTTTTGACAACAAGAAAGTAAATAAGAGAGCTGCATAGTCTGATTTTGGCTAAGACACTAAAATATCAAATTTTGAGATTAGAGAATTATTAGCGGCCGAGGTCAAAAGATAATCATTAGTACTAACATCGGGAGAAGAAAAACACGTATTGGAAAGGGAGTTGGAAAAGAGAGCGATATCGTTGAAAATTTTCAAATTACATGTGGTTCTAAAAATTAGAAATTGTTTTGTCAAAGAATTTGTAGAAGTATCAAAAGAGATTCTAGACCACATACTATCTTCAAGTTTTTCAAAGGAAGTAAAAATTAAAAGATCACCAAGTTAGGTAAATTGTGCTCAACGTATTTGAGCATTGAAATCACCAACAAGAAGAACTTCACCTTTGCTTTGATAATAAAGAACGTTACCTATAAGTCGATGAAATGATTGACTACGATTGCAAGTGCGTTTGGAGTAGTTAGGCATGGATCATGGTGCAAAATAACAAACATCCAAATAACTAAGATTCTAAGATACTCTAGCCAATCCAAAACAAAGCCAATGATATTGTACTTCAATATCCGGATCTTCTAGATGTATCCGAGGTAGAAATTGAGACTGGATGAAAGTAGTAATACCGCCATAGTCTTTTACTACTTGTTGACTTCTATGATTTCAAGTGGATCCCACGAAAGTAAACCCTAGTATCTCTCCAATAACTTTGCTCTCATGTTCTCACATCTCCACAATGTTGATGATGTACGCTATCTTCCAAATCGAATCAGCACTCATATACTTTGTTATAAAAAGAATCTCTTATATTCTACATTAACACCCTCAAGCTAGGTTGATGATTGTTTTTTTGTTGAATAACAACAGAAAATAACATTCATAATAACTTTAACCAACGTTAATATAGTTAAAGTAATAGTAACTAGTGTTTGATCACATTGTTAATAACTTTCTTTCCATTGTCCTCTTGATATCTATTGCACTTATCAAACCCTTCTTCAGATATTAATTTTTTATGCTGATCAACCGATCAGAGACTAGAAAGATAAAGAAAAATCAATCTTGAAAAGATCATAGTAAAATTGAGTGATCAAATCTGTCAAGTCATTTTGAAGTTACATGATCTGCCTAGCGTATATGTAAAATATGTGGTTGTGCGAGATAATTATTTTTTGGATATTGAAATTCACAAATGAGCAGATTTTAGTTTTTGAAGATTACAATGACTTTTAATTTAGAAAACGGTTAGTTATTCCTCATTTTTGGCTAATTATTCCTCATCCTACTGTACTCTCTTCTATGATTGGTCAGATGCAATGAAGGGACAAGATTTCTATCATTTCCACTTGATCCCTTAGTCTCGTGTCTGTCCTACTTTCTCACTCCCGTGTGTACCCTCGCCGCAATATAAGTTTGGTCCCTCCTCCTCCTATTTCCTTCGCCATCGGATCGGGGAATCCGGCCTCATGAGGCATCCAACGGTGAGCTCTTGTCTCCCGTGAAATGTAGCAAAATTCCAGCTATGTGCTGTCAAAATCTCATGGTCATGACATCGCTCAGTGCAGCAATTTCGGAGCCATCGTCACCTTCCTTTGGCACCATAGATGCAACAAAGGTTTTCAGATTATACCCAACTTTGTTTCTTCGACGATAGCGCATGGAGAAAAAATTTCTTAACCTCCCGTCCTACATGAGTCAAGGTCTGCTTTCTCCAAGAGTAATGCGGGAGGGTAGATTCTGACGCATGGATTGCTGCAGCTGCAGACAAGGAGAGCTCATCATTGGATGCCTGATGAGGTGGGGCTGCTTGATCCCCGAGGGTGACGGAAATATGAGGAGGAGGGGCCAAACTTTTACTGCAGGGATACACGCGAGAGTGAGAAAGGCAGACATACAAGGATCTAAGGGGTGAGCCGACAATGAAGGAACTCTCATCTCGTCACCGCATCTGACCAATTACAAAAGAGAGTATAGCAAGGTGAGGTATAATTAACCAATAGTGATGGATAACTAGCCGCTACCTTAATCTATTGTTTCTTTGAAGTAAAAGTAATTGTTGAATTTGAAAAGTAATGAAGTTGTAGTATAACATCCAGTAATCAAGAATCATATGTATCACATTACCAGATATAAAGACTAGGTGGAAATCAAAAAGAAATTAACTATACTAATTCCGTATGTCCTTTGTCTTTCTAGCTGAGAAGTTTACAATACATCCACGTTCCTTTAAACATATAAATCAGATTGTAGCCCCAGTAATCTCTAGGTAAGGGAGAGAGTATCGGAAGGCTACAACCTGGCGGAGAGTGTTATATGCTGCTGATAGGAGAATTTGACTTCACCCCAAAGCCTGCGCTAATGAGCGAAAAATCTACGTGTCCTCGCACCCATAATCTTTTCAAGCTTTGCCTTCTACATATCGTTCCGCAGTGTAGACCAGGGGTAAGTATAACAGTCGCCATTGACCTGTAAATACGGTCTTCAGACGCGTGTGGGCATACTAAGTCATGAAGATATTTCGTTCTAGTTTGAATAATTAGAGTATGTTCCATCCATTTCCTGCCCTGTGGCTTGCGGATTATTAGCTAAAACTGCTTCAAGTTAGAAGATGAATGAAACACGATAAGTCACGCATCCAAGTGGTAATAATGGCTAGAATGGGAATGGAAGTTGTTGATTCCATAGCTTCAATATGTAAGATGTTCATTCTAATGCAGTGGGATGAACAAGCAAAATTGAACAATTTGAAGGAGAAATTATTCAAAATACCTCAAGCCCAGAGGACTCAGTCTAAAAAGCAGAAGTAAATTCATGTAGTCAAAATTCATTGATGTACGGTAATGAAAACCGGAAACTTCGATTTGAATAGCCGCCATTGGAGTGTGGAAACTTGTATCTTTCAAAGAGGTTAAAAGCATTGTTTTTTCTCGTATATAAGGAAAGGTAAAAGCTATGGGAGACTAGCTTCGTTCGAGAGTCAAACTTATATATATCTTCTAAAGGATTGGGGATAACAAACCAAAAGCTCCAATGGATGAGTCTCGGCGAAACTTCATGACACTCATGAGAAATCTAGAGCTGCAAGTTCACTCAAGAAGAGTACTGGAGATCTCTCTCATTGCATAGCATCATCATCCTGCCGTCAACCGTTTACAACAACTCATGAATCGCGAGAACGCTCTCGAGCAAGTTCACGACTCGAGATGTGGACAATGTGGACAACACACGAGAAAACCAGGGCTCTCGGAATCTGGAGAATATTCGCGACGAACCACGAAAAGCTGGCTGAGTCCAAAGCTACTGCCCATTGCACGGAGCGTCGTTGTAGTTGCAGTAAGGGTAGGGGCAGTTGGCGTCCGCTTGCCAACAGCAGACGATGTAGCAGTCGTGGTAGTCCGAGCCGGCGTGGACCTCGGCATTCTGGCGGGGAACAGAACTCGTCGCGTTGAGCTCAAGGTCGACGTGGTGGACACCTTTCTCCCTGTTGCCTGTTGGATGCATTCACCGCGTGCCGAGCAACACAGTGGACCTCGGAAGTTAGACTGTGAGACTGAAACGACGTTGCACCAATCCCGACGTGGTTGTGGTTCGAGGACAACCACGTACGGTCTCGGAAGTTGGACTGGGAGACTGAAACCACGAAGTAGCGATGAAGACACGGTTCGAGGTCGAGGAGAACTACGTACGAACTCGAACTACGAGACAGAGCCTGGGTCGTGAAGGAAGGCATTCAAACCTTGGGCTGTCGTCCCGAAGAGCACTTGCGACTCTGATTGTTGCAGCGACCGAGCTTCGGAGTGCGACGTCGAGACGAAGAGCACGACGAAGCTTAACACGGTGCATGCCTGTTTCCAAGCCATCGGTGATGGATTCAATCCGACCTCACTTCCTCGTTCCGACCAACTCCAATCCCGATCCCGATTCCGACGCCGACGCAACTAGAGTTCCGAACGATATTGTCTCTGAGATTGCTTCTGAGGCAGGCACCATTCTTATACCCATGGCTCGCACTCTTGGCAAGCATCCGATCCCCTCCCCTCTCTCCCGGAAGGCTCATAGTTCAGCTTTCTCCGCAGATTCCTCTAACCAGTTTTCGGTTCTGTGCGTGGGGTTCTCGTGAGATTTTCAATAGTACATTCTGGTTCTTGCGAAGGTACAGATCATGTTGCATACGTTCTTGACGACCGAGGTCGGCCGAATTCCAGACCTCGAGGAATGAAAGTTCGTTCATCGCATGTTTCCATGAGGATGAGACCAAGAAATTTGGACAGAGCATTTCGAGTGTCGGCTTACAACAACTGCCGCTCCAATCACCGCAAACCTGGGAGATTGGTACTGCCGCAGATTATTATTTGTCCTTCGATTATTTCTTCGGGTGTTTACGAGATGGTATGTTCGCTTGAGAGGTCGTGCTGACGTACCACATAATTTGGACTGGGGCATCAATTTCTTGTTAAGGAGTTGGAATAATTGAATGTAGACATTGAGAAAAATAACTTTGGGCTTGAAGGTCTCGTGCGAATGTATGAGGAAAGCGTCTTATTGCGGCATTTGAGCCCAATGGATACTGACGATAGCCCTTCTCAGGCCCACATTTTGATTTTTCCACATTAACTAAGCTTCCAAACCATCTAGGTAGACATTATTCTCGAACTTGAAGATATTACATGGAAGTAACGAGCTAGAAGAATCAGAGTGGACGTGCCGCCGGGCACGTCCTCATAGCTCTTTTGAAAGATAAAATGAAAATTTCTTCATTACGGAATTAATGTTGCCATTAGAATCTTACAATTACATATAGGAACAGGTATTACTTCGAGAAAATCATTGCATCGTAGCCTTGAACGCACAATGTGATTTACAGAATAACATCTTCTTTTATTAATTTATGCTATCATTATAAAGCAACATTATGAGCGGTCATCTCTGCTCATGTGCATGCTAATTCGACAAGTGTAAAATACGAAAGATATTAAATCACTGCATGTACTTCAAGCATGAAAAGCTACGAAGATATTCTTTCACACTTTGTAGTCGAGGGACTACAAATATTTTTTGAAATTTTCAAGAAATTAAAGACAGTAGTATTTACTTTGATAATTATGGGTGTTTGGAGTCGTCTCCTCAATGGTATCACTCTGATTATTTGCCAGTCATCCTATACTATCATAGTAGCTTGGTTTCAATCAAACAAGAGGCATATTTCACATAGTATTACCATGTGAAATATGCCTCTTGTTTGATTAAAACCACGCTACTGTACGATTCCTACATGTGTATAATGACAAGAAACTAAATGAATATGTTGTGTAGCATCTACGAAACTTGGTAAATAACTTGGAATAATGATAAAATAAAATAAATTTTATGTTATCAGTCCCATGGATCTTCAGCTGATTCTTGGGATCCATATTTTAATACCAATTTCTTTATTCCGAGTTTACAAAACCTTTCACAATCTGAAGGCGATTATTTGACTATATTCAATAACCCAGGAACTAATGGCTTCCAACCTGTTCTTCATTAAACCTGTTGGGTTGCACCAACATGATGTATATTGACACAATACGAAGGAGCGTTTTTTGTTGAATATTCTAGATAATGTAAATAGAACTTCAAGTGAAGTCACATTGACTAATGTCAATGTGACTATGTTTAGTATTTTCTTCATCTAAATACTTGCTTATATTCCATTTGAGAATAGTTCATGAGAAAAAAAATAGGACTCCATGAAACGGATCTTCTTGAAAATTGTACAACAAGTCGTGTCTTAAATAAATTCAAAGACTTTCGGAGAGCACATCATTTCATGCAGGCTACATGAAAACTGAGGTAGGATATTGAGGCCGTTGAGAATCGAAGAATTGAGGTAATGATGTGAATGGGTGAATGTCCATAAGAAGAAGAGCAGGCACATCAGAAATGGCCAATCAAAATAAACATCAGCGTCAGGACTGGGGATTATATTTATCATCACTATTATGACAATGAGACGGACGCATTGTAGTGAGGCAGGTACAAGAGCAGAGTAGTGGGAACTATCTTGTCAAGAGGAGCACATCACCAGTGTGGTGGATGCAGGCATACCTCTTCTTGGCCTTTATGGTTGAATCTATCATGGCCTAGGACTGCATGTAGGATGGAGCATGTAGTTGAGCACCACGCAAATGCGAAAATCCTCTTCTCGCTAACGGGGCCACCATCATTCGGAAGGAGTGCTCGTGAATCAGTCTCACTTCGGACACTTCAAAGCATGCACTAGGCTCGTCAGTTGGCCTACGTTCAGTCTGATCCAACTTGAGACGAGAATCCTACTAAACGATTTGTTCGGTATTGGGGTTTTATTGACAGCATGTGACAGGGTATGAATGAAGGAGTGAACAAGGAGGTTTGGGATTCGTTTTAGAACAGTGGAAATGGTTCGAGCTCGGAGAGTCTGGGGCGTTCATGCGGTTGCGGTTGCTTTGGGCACTGGGCAGCAGATGCAGATCAACTTGAATGTTCGGAACATCATTAACGAACCCACTTGGTCATACTATGCACCCACGTATCTGGTGACGTGTATCCACCTGTAGTACATTGGCCTTATACCTCCATGTCGTGACGGCAACTATGTTCCAACAAAATAATGTTTCCAGAATTGATGTATTGGCGCCATCTGATCCATGATTGTTAACAGTCTTTCACGTGATCTACTTGATGCCCTCTTTCATGCATTGATCGAGGCAGGAGAAAAATGTCATGTCGGGCATGCACGAATAGGAGATAGATAGAAGCGATAGATGTTGAGAGGAGCATGCAAATAATGCAAGGCTCGAGGCCTTACCTTCGGATATGGCTTCGACATGGTCGACAAAGCTAACCCAGTAGAACTCTAGTTCCATGTTTTTGTTTTAACGCCTGATCGAAGCGCAAAAGGAGCACTGACAGCCAGAACCACGCAATGCCTCAGACTCTGTTTCGATTCGCTGACAGTGCAGCGATCGAGGCCGGCCTCCTGGGGCGAGAAAAAAATACTGCGAAAGCAACAAGCTTGGCATGCAAAAGAAGTTGCGAGCTTTGAAAGTTTGGACACCGCATCACTGTTGATTGAATTCGTTACCCCAATGAGAGAGTCAAAGCCCCCAACAGTGTAGTGCAAGAACAGTGAGTGAAGTCATAGCAGAACCCTCAGATTCAGACAAACTCTCGAATCTGCAATTCCGTCATATCTTTATATTATTGAAGACAGAGTCTGGCGAGAGAGGGAAGTTTAATTTCCAGTGAGGAACATGTGATTTCTCCGCTCTCGCTTAAACAATATCGCCTCAATAATATACCCTTTTCTCACTCAACCGTCACGACAAAGACGTTTGTACCCGGACCCAAATCACGTCACTCGGTACTTGGGTGACACATCTCACTGAGCTCATAGAAATGGCCGACTGAAAAGTACATTATGCGCTACCCACAAAAGCGTGTGTATGTACCTCAAGTGAACACATCAGATATGAACGTGGGAGACATCCTCTCGCCTTTATTTTATTTTCTAAGTTTTTGCCGGGGCCGCTTAAATGATATCTTCGCGTATGTATAGAAGGAAAGCTGCAGGGCGACTGAGCCTCACACTGCCCTCCTGAGATTTGAGGCCTTCATCTCAACCTCTCCGACACTCCGCACCCTCTCTCACAAAATAGCTTTTTGTGCCGAACCAGGGCCCAGCCACCTCCAAATTGGATCTGAAAACATCGAGAAATTATCGCATGCGGTGAAATGCCGAGTCCTGGTATACGAAATGAATCGAAACTCGGGTCCACAATAAATGAAACGAGTGGAGGGGCGAGTCATACAGCCACAAGGAATCCACAGTGAAGGGAAAGACAGGGATTTGCGGGAACGTGGTGAAAATGAGAAGCGAAAGCCGATCCTCAATCCTGAAACGTGAGTCTCACTCACTCACTCTGGCGAGGGGCGGGATGGCAACATGGGCAAAACTGAGAGTCTTGTGAATCTACCGCAGGGTTCGAAGTCTAGGCGGTAGCCTGATAACTACCTTCGATGCGCAGGTGGGGCTTGTAGGAGGTTCGGTGAACTGCACTGCCACTTTCTGTGCGCTGGGGGGTGGCTTGAGAGCGGACGGGAGCAAGACTTTCGGAAGGATTTGTGAGCTGGTACGATCGTCGGCTGCGAGTTTGGCTCTTGGGGGATCGTGTCCGCGGCTTTCTATCCGACTGAGCGAGCGGGCGAAGTGGAAAGTTTGTGGATTGATCACTCGTCATAAAGCTTGAAGCAATGGCCGCGCTGCGCTGCGCTCCTGGAAGAGAGAATAGCTTGCCAGATAGTGTAGCGCCTTGAAAGAAGGACCACACTCTCGAAACGACAATACAGTGTGGAATGTTGAGCAATAAAACGAGGGCGAAAATTATTGGTCTCACAGTATCTGAAGCTAAAGGCTTGTCTCCTGGTCCACCACCTGCTTCGCTTTTTGGGTTGTCTCATGGTCCACCACGCTGTCAGGCTTGCCAAGGATGTAGCCGAGAAAGCCAAAATCTCATACCGCCCAAAAGTCGTCGGAGATAAAGGTTCGTGCCGCATAGCCCATTGCTATCATTACTGTTACTCATGCAACATTACAACCATTCTCTTTCTCGCTTGCCACCGAAGCCCGACACGACACCGCTCATATCTCTTCAATCATCGTGCCATCTTGAACAAATACTTCCGGTACCTCGTTTCCTCGCAGGGCGACGGCGACGACGACGGCCTTCTGCTGACCCAGGCTAAGCCCAAGCCGCCTTTGCCATTCCAACAGATTACTCTCCACGTAGAGGTAGAGAGAGAGAGGGAGAGAGGGAGGGAGGTCGTCCTCTCGATTCGATTACTACTGCTTCCGGAAAAAGTGGAAATGTACTTCACCGAGTTCTTTAATAGTGCCACTGAGAAGCCGAAGCTGATTGGAATCTGGCTAAAGTTGTACAACCGTATCTCAGACAACTACTCTCGACACCAATTCTCGGGTATGAATCTGTACCTCGTCATTTGACAACTTTGCAGCCTTCCAGATGCTCCACCAAAATCTCTAGCACTGTAGATTCAGTTGCATAACCTGTACTTGCCTTTTGGGCACCTTCGAGCAAATTGGTGTACGTCTGTGGTCATCTGGTCTACAACTTCACCAAATCCGAAGTCACTCGAAATCCGTTAACGATATACTTCTTACGTTCATGAAACTTTATGCTTTTTCGAGCAGAAAGAAGACGGGTGCCGACTGCCGTGGAGTCCACATAATCAAAACTCGGACGCGAGCGTAGCCTCCCTACATCGGTCGGAGGCGTAGCACTCGAGCTACGGAGTCCATACACCGAGCTCATGATAAGATCTGTCGAGTCGGATTTAATCATTCTCTACGATCTCTACAGATAAGTTTGTCACATGTGAAGGAAACTTGTACCCTCCCAAATTGCGCCCACCGCCTCCTCCCTCCCTCCCTCCCTCGCTCGCTCTCTCACATCTGCTCGGCTCTTTACTCTCCCACTCGTCCGGACAGAGTCATTATGTTCCGGAAACCCATGTCACGGGAGCGCCACCCAAGGACACGAGCCCCGGCGAAGAAGAGCGAGCTACCTCCCTCCCTCCCTCTCTCCGTCCCTCGCAGCTCTGCCAGAGCCTGCCAGAGCCGAGATGGAGAGAGATATTCGGTGCGAGGAGTACCGCCCTAGGCCATCGACAGGCGGACGTTCGGATCGCTGAGGTGTTAATGGCTCATTGCTCGGGAGATGCTTCGGACAAGACCGAGTACCATCTGCGGTCGGTATTGTACATTTATAGGAATTGCCCTTTTGAGCAACGGACATTTGCAGTGGCTGTCTGAACAAAGACACACTCGATTCGAAATCACTCGGGCCTCATTTGACCCCCCTCCACCCTCGCCCCTCACCCTTCCTCGACGCTCAACTCGATCGATTCCCGTACTGGTCGAGAGTCAGTTCGTTGGAGGACCCCAGTGTCGGACGAGAGACGAATATTTTACCGCAAAGGTCTCATGGGGCGGATTTTACATCACAACGCATTTGCAAACCGAAGGGAGAGTGAGCAAGACCTGCAGCGAGATTTACTTTCTCTGGCCGACGTACCGACATTGAATGTTGCAGAATGTCGACGTCCTGTCGCCTTAGGCTGATTTCAACAGGAATGTGGGGACTTGTGTTCAGGAAGTACTCCAACAGCGGAGAACGACCGTAGCTCAGGCAGTGAAGTGAGCGCATGATGATATCATGCCTACGGCGTGACCATTTCCCACGTAGTAATCCGAGCACCTCGTTCGTGTGGCGCGTAGCTATGGCTGCGATGAGACAGACGGAAGACAAGAACAATGTCGTCGTGACCAGTAGGGGGGAGACCGCGAGCATCCATTCGGCAGAGTGGGATCTGAAAAGAGCGCGTGAAACTATTCAAGTTGTACTCCCTCCCTCGTCATTTGGCTCCCATCCGTCCACCGTAAGATGCCATCGTTAACCGCAATCGAGGCGCTAATCTGAAACGCTTCGTGGGTCGGTAATCCGCAATCGACAGTCGATGGATCGATGGATCGATGGATCGATCGGCGATGTTTCGAGGAGCAGCAGCCGAATCTCACATCCCAGACATTCCACCCGAGATTTGCCGGACAAAGATCCCGAATAATACTTTCCTTCCCCACTCGACGGCTGCACCGCCATGCACGACTCTACCTTATACCTGATGCCAAGCTTCGCCCCGGAAGACATTATAATCATTTTTTACAGGAGAGAAATGCGAAGAAGGCGGCATTTTAAAATTCGAGAACCGGAGCGAGGGAGCGAGGGAGGCGATTCGGACTGTCAACTGCAACTCGGGACTGGCGGAGAAGAGGCGCAAAGAGCTCGATCGCGGGCGGGCCGACTGTCCAGTGGCCACTAGCGCATATTTGCCAATACTTTTCTCGCCCCAACCACCCCTCGGCTTACGGCTGATTATTCGTTGACCGGCTACCTAACTCTAACCTGGATAGGGTGTTCACCTGAAAACAAAAGAGAGGGGAATGATTTGGAGAAACAAACCCAACATGAATCAAATTCACGTCCGGTACGAAATAGTCTCGAAAGTGGTCGCTGACGCCCCCCACTGCCACAAGTCTCAGACAGAAATGGCTCTACGACGACGACGGGTACAGTACACTCGTCCGATACTCCACCACCACCACCCGCACCGCCTTTCCTTCGCCTTTCGATCCTTGGGGGCTTTCGAGCATGGAATTTGGCAAACCCCTCGCTGCGGCCCCTGCCTGCCGGACTGACGGCCCCTGCGGCCCCTGGTGGCCTGCGCGCCTGAGAGACTGCCTGCTTTGGCTTTTGCAGCGGTTCGCAATTATTCATGCAACACCTCTCTGACACCGCCAGGCCTTCAGGCACGCGTCAGACGGGCGCGCGCGGGCCCGATTGGCTTCCCTGGCTGTCTTGTCTGTCTGGCACTCCGCTGGACGGACCGCGGGATCCCACGCCGTTCCCAGCGCACCACTCCCGCCGGTCTGGCGGTCCTCGGCCCCGCCGTCCCCCGGCCTCAGCCGGTCCGCACCCTGGATTAGGTTTCGGCCACGCGGCTTCGCTAACCGGTCACCCCTCGCCGATACAACCGACCGACTGCTACGTCCCACCGCTCCGAGGGGCATCACGAGCGTCCTTCCGTCCATCCGTCCACCCGGTGGCAGAAGAAAGGCTATAATTGCAGTACTATGAGTTGCTCCTCTGCCTACGCCCGACTGGACTCGACTGCCCGTGAGTGACTGGCCGGACGTCCATATACGCTGTTCGTCACAGAGACGCGTCCGTCGCGCTACTCAGTTTTCTTAAGGTTTATTATTATTATTGTTCTTATCAGTGGCTGTACCGTGATGTTTTGGGTACAGTGGTGTATGCGTAGCGTACACGAGGTCAGATAGGGAGACTGACTTGAGAGAGACGGACCGAGTCCGTCGACGACATCCGAGATCGACGACGGCATGGTTCGAGCGACCGAGGTGTACAGTCACGTGGCGTGTTCGGGACGAACGTTATCGCATGCGAGGAAGACTTTCGGGCTGACGTGCAGTCTACCGTCCCCTGTGGCCAGCAGAAAACTACAGTAGCTAGGTGCCACCACGGTGTGTGGCTTGCCCACCACGATGGGGACTTTTATCATCTCTTTCTGTTGATCCATTTAAGGGCCCTTACAGAAATCGAGCACTGTCGGAAATGAGATTTTCTTGGCCGATTTTGGTCGCGGAAAGCTGTCGAGGAGGATAACCACTCGCTCGGATATTCTGATTTTCCGATTTTCCTGTTTATTTGAGATCTCCTTCACTGCAATGGGGTCGTTTAACGAATACAGACGTGGGAAGTGAACTCTGGGAGTCCTCGAGAAATAATTAATGACCGTCGCAGGCAGAAGAAACGGAGAGTTTTCCAAGCCTCGGTGGATTCATTTAATCGGTTCGGAAAATGAGTTTTTTTTAAATAGAATTTCTGGAAGTACTGCTGTACTCCTGCAAATGTTCTGCGTGACTCTTCTCCAGAGACTTGTCGAGGTACTGCCCGAATACACACCTGTTACCGTGTAACGTTTGTACTAATTTTCACTTTTCCTGCTGTACTCACGGATCGCCATTGTTTCGATCGATTTCACAGTTACAGAGATTATCATCTACAAAGGGCGTAGCGGCTGTAGCCTGTACCGGTCCTTGTCCTGTCTGTCTGGCTATGGTCTGGCATGTCATCGATGGAACGGGACGGGACGCGAAGCGGGGGAGGGGGTTCAGAATGAGCAGTTAAAGGACCAACATGGTTGTAGTAAGTAAGGTCCAGCGCCCGCCAACAACGACCTCATGAATGACGACGCCCACAGGTGAGGTGTGGTGTGATGTGGCTACTACCTGGTAGCTGCTGCTGCTGCTCGCTCCACTGAACCGATAAAAAGCGATAAGAACTGAAAAAGGCTACCTCGCCAACTCCTCCATCAAATCAAAGACGGGAAAAAAAAGCTGGCCAGGCCATCCATTCCTCGCTCCCTCGCTCCCTCCCTCTCTCTACCCGCGCTCTCCCACGCTCCAACTTGCACAATAAAATAACAGACCCGAACCTCCACTCTCGTCGCTCCATTACCGGCCAGGGCAAATATCAGCGTCACCAAAAGGTAAGGCCTGGCTTTGCCAGATCGGTATGGATGGCTGGATGGATGCATGGACCGACCACTTAATGGAATATGGAGAGATCAAGTTGTACGTGATGGAACAGTTCGATTTCTGTTCGCTCGCATGGATGGTCGATTCGTATATTCGTAATAATACGTATCTTCTCCTTCTTCTTCTTCTGTCTGGTGCTTCTTCTTGCCATATGAGCTTCCTTCTGCATTAATGGTTCACAAGTCCGACAACACTTCCGGAACCTTCCCCAATCCTTCGCTTCAATTGATTTGGTTCTTCCTTGCGCATGCTGCATCGGCAGCCATCACTCGCAAATTCCGATTGACGCAGGCCTGGCAAACAGGTAGGCTTTGGCAGTCCCGATCTACACTAAACTACTTCTGTCTTAATACATCATTTCATCTTATGCTTTCCAGACGAACATATACCCCTCGGTATATCTTCGTCAGACCTGTGCTTGAATGTAATGTGTTTCTGGTGACCAACCTTCACAAAAGCACCAATGCGATTCTGGATTCTTATTCATTTTGCACCTTCGTGACACATGCAGATCACGGTACCCTCCCTGTGGCTGACATATACTATACACTTCGCAAGTAAGCGGCTGTCGAAAATACTCTACGCCTACAGTCGGGCCTGGACAAGCGCACCGGATGTAAATGCAATAGATATAAATTCCTGGATCACTTACGGATGACTAGTCACTCCCCAGCGGCCAATCCAGGAAGTAAATGCAGCTCGTTACCTGGATACAAGCTCCAAGCTTTCCCGAAAAGAGGCAGATGTGTGTAAGTGCAAGATACGGCCATATGCAATCTTGCATGAGCGATCCTTTGTGAAGGCTTTAGATTTTAGGTCCCTTTCTATTCCAACTGCCCAAAGTGCATGATTTGTGGGCTAGCTGAAAGATTTTGCGCAGAGTGTCTTTTCTCCGTGACGCATTTCATTATAGCTTTCAGCTCCACAATCCAGCGCAATAGCAGGCACATGATTGAAATGAAAATTCAGTTGGAAGTTCTGACATGTAATTCTAAAGAGAGAAAGTTAGGTCCATTTTCAGCTTTAATCTCAATCGTTTGTAACTGGAAGCTACTTGTGGTTGCAGAATGCACTTTGGACTAAGTGCAACCATAAGTACAAGGATGTAATCATGCAAATCTGCAAACGTCTCCCAATCTACAAAGATGAATTAACATCGGACGGTAAACATTATTGGCTTCAGTGATCTTTAAGAAAAATCACCCATTTTGGAAGCAATATAGCATGCTAATACTCTTCATCGAACGAGACATGGATGAGCGCTCTTTCCTCCAAATGTGAAATCCTCCATGGCTTAAAATATGTGTTATGATATCCAGTTTTTTTTTAAGGTCTAGAAATAAGGAAATGATCCAAAAAATATTATATTAATTTTATTTTTCCATGTTTTGGAACACAAAAATAATAATTCTTTTGAACGTATCAAATCATTAAATTACAAATAGACGAAATCTCCAACTACTTTTAGACTTAGGCTGGAGATGTTTCAATGTGATGCCAAATCGATAAACTTATCAATCAAACCCGTTGAAATTAATGCAACTCAATATCATAATCCTCTAAGACTTAATAGCCACGCTCTAATCCATAATAAATATAACACATCTAAAGACTGAACTCTAAATTTTTTTCTTATAAAATATCACACCTCTAATGTCTAATTATAAAAAATAATCAGTTTTTGATCTTGTATGGATGTCAATATTTTCCTAATCTTGGATGCATCCGTAATAATATCGGACTAGGCTAATGAAAATATAAATATCAAGTCTAGTCGAGCCAACATATTACCTCCCTATTTCAGAAAAATGGTAGGTTTGAATCACAAATTTCTTATTCTTGAGACAAGATGCATGAGTTACACATTCCTAAGAAGGAGAGCACCCTGGGAGTATTCGCGAAACCCAGTTAACAAGATCGCAGAATTTGCTGACTTTAAGCCTATTAAAGGAAACTATAGACCTCTGGTCCGATTAGCGATGAAAAAAAGACCAAAACTCACGGTTCAACTTGGGGGTCTTGATGTGGTATCGATGATTGAAAAGAAAAATGAGAAAAGAAAAATCCTCTATCTACATACCTCACATACACATAAAGTATTTACCACCTACAATTTGCAAGGGCTGAGAAAATCACGCTTTATGTGGAATGGGGTAACTGGCAATCGGGGGCTCAAAGGGCTGCAGAAGTTAAAGCGCCGAATGATATTTTGCATCGATCTAGTCCATAGGCGAGCTCTTTTATGTCGCAAACGGTCGTTGTCACCACATACCGAACCGGGCTATGGGCCGAACAGCGAGCTGCTTGTGGGACCCTGATGTCGATCTCGGCGCAACAAAGGCCAACGAACTGCGAAATTGGGCCCCGCCGAGGACCTTCGATCTGGTTCGTTTGTGCAGGAAACCGAGAACTGGAGTAAAAGCAGAGAGAAGATCCCGAAATCTAGATCTCGTTCATTCCAGTGGAAGTGGAAATGCATGTATGATGACTGGTAATGTAGAGTAGCTTGGAGGAAGTTACTCGTCGCAACATCATTCCTCCAGATATATGGTACTGTCCACTCATTGTATGAAAGTTCACGTACGTAGGTCAAGTTTTCAATCATATGGAAGAATCGTTCCATGCTACACTCGTATCGTAATTCTGCTGACCCCTATGAGGTCGGTTTGGGAACTCTGCTTGCGGAGACGACCATGGGAACGGATCCCGTTCTGAAAAACCGTTAATTGTTATAAGTCTAATCATCATAAGCAGACAAGAAATACTCGAAGATATCAAACTTGTTGCTAGGGGCTACATCTGAAACCATGGTTTGAAATCGATTTTCTGTAAGAGCGATGGTATCAATCATGCCATCATACTTTGCATGGTCATTGATTGCTTCCTGGAATCCTTGCTCCTCACTTCGAATTGACCCAAATCTTTTGGAACCTTTTTCTGGGGACAGTGGTTCCTTTCTTTACGCAGCCATTCCCACTCTTTTCGGTTCTTCTGTAACCTGAAATTTCAGGATGTATGTCATGCTGCATAACTCAGTTCATAGGAGTCCGTCTATTCTTCGGATACTAATTTGACACACTTTGGAGCCCCCTGAGCACATTTCGTTCAACAACATGGGAAGATTAAAGCTGACCTTAAGAGTAGCCCTGCGACCAGTGATATCGAGATAATAATCTTTTGGGATGATTCAGTCTGCAATGAAAAGCAGAAATGTTGATTACCGTATCAAAGACGTATCAAAGTGTACATATACACATATCTACTTTCCTTGTATTTCCACCCGCTGTGACTTGTCTTCTAGCCTTCCACTTGATCAGGTCACCTATAAGCCTTTGTTAGATGATACTTGGATAACTTCATATACACATGTAGTGTTTGCCCTTTTCGCTAATGAATTGAGTTGCGACTAGGGAAGCGACCGTAAAGAGAATAATCACTGCAATACATTGATTTTTCGAAGTGATGTAATATAGGACTGGATAACATTCAAGTAAACTGATTCTCAATGGGAACGAGGAAAATTTGGATAGAATAAGATATATCTTAGAAGATTGATCCAATTTTTTTCCACATTATATCCAGCAAAGATCTGTATCACACCATTATAGAAAGCATTATGGATTTGTTCATTTATGCAGTCGATATAGCGGTCACTTATCACGTCACATTGCATTTTCCTCACTGTGAGTGGAGAAATGAGTATTTCACACAAAGCTTGAAGAGTTAACAGAATAACAATTCATTGTTTACCACAAGACACCGTTGAGGGTGGGGCGTAAAACGGGTTATGATCACCATTAGATCCTGACCTAACTATGACATGACATGGTGGAGAGAGGAAAAAAACTGCATTCAAATCAACTCTAACTGAATGCAACTTGCAATTAAATTTTGGAATTTGGAGTAGACAGGTGTCCGCATTCTAAAATTAGCGAAGGGGGCCAAGAAATCAGATGAGCAATTTTGGATGTGCATTCGTTTGAAACTTTTAACTTAGTCTGAGTAATATTCTAAAATATAAGCATGAAATCGACTCGTAATAAGTTATAAACGATTCTAAGATTTACCGTTGTAATCCTCGTGCGTCATATGTCTTTTCATCACCTATTACATTGTACTTAGCTCTGCTCCATGTGTTCCAATGTTTAGGTTTACTTGTCAAAAGCTACTGAGACTTATGTGCAACTTCTCGCAACTTTTCACAATGTAATCTGTGGACTCCATCAGAATGTTCCCATGATCAAAATTTTGTACAGATTTTGAGAACACATTGTATCCACACAACTTCCGACGAGATATTTGAATAAGTTTAGAGACATTGAGGTATTTTTGAGAAATATAGTATCAATTTCATTTAGTCAGTCAGTCGGTTTGATGATGAAGAGAAAATCAGAATGGAAAAGTAAGCAGATCGAGGCGTGTGAATTTGACTTTCAACATCAATAAGAGCAGCAAAGCATAGTAAACATTACGTTCATACATTCAGAACTGATGCGTGATAAGCAGTGCATCTTGTGAATCGGATAAGAGCTATGTGCTGAAGTTCAATAACCTTACATCCAGCCATTAACCCAGGAAACACCAGACTTTAGAGGTAAATGAGTATGAGATGAGACGGAATCCAACCATACTCTGTAAGTTGTATTTCATATCTTCTCCAAACTAGGATGACAAAAGGAAGGAGCATAGCGAGGGGATTGTCCAACATTGTCGCAGAATACAGCTAAAGGGTTAACTCTAGGTTTCATCGTGCTTTCCTCCTGGGTACCCCACAAACCGAATTAGTAAAAGCACTACTTTGGACGCAGGAGATACAGCACTACACTTCGATGGTCAGCTAACAGCTTTCGGAGGAAAGGCATCCTTCCTTGTCCTCGCGACCTCGAGGCACCACGAAGAAAGAGTTTAGCTGCTTGGTCGGTCCCCTGCGAGTTCCTTGACTTTGGCAGAGCCAGGCTTCTTTCTCCCAGCTTCTCTGTCACGTGACTTTAAGATGCGTATAGTCCTTCGGGGCGGGGGAAATGGCCACCCCGCATCTTGCTGTACTTGTAAACCTTTTTCTATTGATCTCTAGTGCTGCTTGGATAGTAAAGTTTGGAGATCGTTCCCTGCTTGTGGAGGCGACATCAGTAAAAAAGAAGAAGGAAGGAAAATACCTTTCTCGGCGGTACTCAAATAGCGTAGCGGGTTGCAATCTTTGCCAAATGGAATGAGAATATATATATTATTTTATCGCTTTAAGACTTTAATAAAGAGGAGAGAAGCATCCTATAAGTGATATGTGGGGATGCACTTTAGCTCATCCGACGGACAGGCTGAATGACCTTTTTAATTATATGGGTGGATAAGAAAAGAATAGATTCTACAGAAATCAATACTACTGACAGATTTGTATAATATCAGTGATTAGACCTCCTGCCATGTGCCGGAAGCATTCGATTAGGGCGAAGCCTGCATTATTGACAATATCACAAGCGTAACAATTCTCTTACACGTCACATGCAATATTCTGGTCCAAAGAACAGTGTTTGCTAGCGTTTATCTAACTGTATGACACGGCCAGTTTATTCACAAATTATGCTGGTTTTCTCCAGGATTCCGGGAAGGAACCAAAGTCTGCATTTTCACCTAACATCGATGAACCGTTTGGGAGACTTATTTTCGCGTCATATTCTAAACGGTTAACGATGGTCAAGCTCCGAATGCCTACGTTGATTAATCTGCCTGCCGTGGCTTGCAGAGCGAGGGGAGCGATTTGCGTTCATATGCAGATAGGAAACGAAGCAGCATGGTTGGCCTAGAGGCCTACCTATGGCGAAGCATGATGAATCGAGAAAGGGCAACCATGATATAATGGCGAAATACTCATGACATACCATCTGAACTGATTACCGTCAGCAGACATGGCTAGCGAAAGTTTCATCGGAATCTACGAGCGCAAGACAAAACCATTCTATAGGCCAGGCTCATTCATTTCATTCGTGAAGTTTGCAGAGCCCCAACTGTAGGTAACAGTGAACCTACTTGTTGTTAAACTACAGTAGCTGTTATCCCTTGTTACTGTGTTACAGTGGGAGCTTTGGAGTTAATGGTACTAGTTGGGAAAGATTCATGATCTCGGGCTTCGCAATTATGATAAGATGTAATGGTAATGATTCTGGAGGAAGGCTAGGTCCATTTGTGCTTGGTGAATAGGAAATACTCCCGCATCGTAGGAGGGATATCGTAGAACATGAATTCGTTCGGAATGATGGACACATCGCATTAGCATACAGTAATTTGGAGACTCAGCGGGGGCCTGGGATGGGTGAAAATACATGGGCAGCGACCGGTGGATGGCCGTCGGTATGGGAATGGCCCGCGGGGCACTAATATCTTTTATTAATATAAGCCAGGAATGAGTACTGTGGAGAAGTCTGATGATGATGAAAAACAAATTGGCAGTCGGTTCTGGCCACAGGAGGATTAAATGTCAACCTTTGACCTTCAGCCAAATCCGAGCAGGAGCAATAGCAGCAGCTGTATTCCATCCAAATGGAGCAGAGCAGCGTTGCCACGTGAAGATGTACCGTGCTCTTCCTGTTGAGCTGAGGTGCGCACTGTGAGAGAGGAATGGAGTACCACCAGTTTGGTGGGTGATGAAGTATAATGGCAGCAGAACTGAGCAGAGCAGATATTCAAATGTGCAGCAGATGCAGGCAGACTGCCGCCGCCTTCCCTTCTTCATGAAACTCAGCAGGAGGGGCAGCAGGCAAAGGTTCAGGGTAATATTATCCTGTTCTGTATTTTATTTCCTTCCTTCTGTCTCGGCGTGTCCAAGACAAGATCTTGCAATTGACTCGTCGCGCCCTCAGGGGCACCGAGTTCGAGGCTGGTCACGTGTGGGCGATAGCGAGGGAGTGAGAGTGTGGGTGAGTGAGGAGAGAGAGAAAGACAGGACGATCAGTAGTGAGAGAGTTTTCATTTGAGTTGATGAGCAGGCGGAGGGAAGGAGAAGGAAGCAAGCAAGGCAGGCAGGCACAGGCAGGCCCAGGCAGGCACAGGAAGGATGTTAACCAGACATGTCTCATGTCGATGAATCTCACGGGGAGCAGGACACTGCCGCTGCTCCTGCTCCTGCTTCTTCCGCTTGCCGCATGCTGCAATGTCGAGCTGCGTACGTAAACGTGGGCTCCCATCTCTTAGTGCCGTCTCCAAGTGCTGTATGTCGACCATGATCTCGCGGCCCTGGACGCGGGCAGCCTCCGTCTGGGAAGGGAATGCGGGTGACATAGTCAGAACAGAGTGAAATTTCCAAGCAGCTGAATTTCTAGTTCTTTGACAGTCAGCCATAGTAAGCGCTATCTGGGAAAGGCACCAGTGCAGTGCTTGAGTGATAGAGTACGGTATGGTGGTAAATGATAGAGTTTGATCATCAGGAGGAGCAGTAGATGGGTAGTGTTTGATGAGTACGGGTACGGGGCAATAGAGAGAGAGAAATAGAGAGAGAGGAGTGGCGAGGGGGGGAGGCGGGCGGGCGGGCAAGCAAGCAAGCAAGCGAGGCAGGCCGAGATGCGCATGCGGCGAGAGAACGGACATTGAGAGCGCGATCGTTGGCTTTAGCTGCTGAGCGACGAATAATCAAATGTGTGCAATTGTGTTGCCGAGCGAGCGAGAGGGAGGGAGGAGCAGAAGAAGGCGAGCAGGCTCTCGGGTGAGAGACATAACCTACGCTCGGGGCGATGAAGTTGGGCAATCGAATCAGTGAATGCCGCCGCCGCCGCCGCTGCTGCTGCTGCTGCAGGCGCTCGGGCCCTTGTGAGAGGCGGACTGCCGAAGCGTGAGAGCAAGCGTCTACGTCGTCCCGAGAACGACGAACGACGAACGACGAGGAGGAGTAGGAAGGAGGAGGAGGTGTCTCGCGATGATGACGGGAAGTCGTAGGAGGACTAGAGTCACATGACACCTCTGTGACAACAACAAAACTCGACTCGCAGCGAGAAGCGCGAAAGGGTGCTGCTGCTGTTGCTGGTTCTATTTCTCTATAGTGCCAAGGTTCCGATAGGAAAACGCTCAGACCCGCATCATGATTCATCTCACCGAGCATTCAATCCTGCGAACAATTCACCTTGTCGGAATCTAGACAGTGACAGTGAGAGAGTGAGGGGGAGAGAGAGAAAGAGAGAGAGGGCTTGCGTGGCGCCGAGTCGTGAAGGTACAGGTCTCGTGGACTGTGGGACGATTAAGACTGAGGGAGTGAGCGAGTGGACGACAATGTCGCCTTCTTCCAATATTCAGCGGGGGCTGAAGGCCGTGGAGGCGCTCCTCGCACTCACCGTTATGCTGTTGGTCGAGACTCCTCCGTCTGCAGCAGGGTTGCCTTCTTCGGAGCTCGTGGTCAATCTCTTGCTCGTCAAGGAGGGCCTGGGAGACGCGCTGGGCCAGCTGAGCGACTGGGCGCCATCCGACTCGTCTCCGTGTGCCTGGACGGGCATCACTTGCAGCCAAGTCTCGGTTTCTGATAATGGTTCCAGCATTGTCATCGGCTTGGATCTTTCGAACAAGAATCTCACGGGTTCAATTCCGCAAGAAATTGGCCTTCTCACCGACCTTCAAGTTCTGGATCTGAATAGCAATGGCCTGACCGGGCAGATACCGTCGAGCATAATAAACCTGACGCAGCTAACCTTCATCAATCTCACCTCGAACTTATTGAATGGCAGTCTTCCCGTAGGAATATCAGCCATGAAATCCTTACAGAAACTCGACGTGTATGACAACCTGTGCGCCGGGCCTCTCCCCGAGGAAGTCGGTCTAATGACCGAGCTCGTCTATCTGCACTTAGGAGGCAACGCGTTTCAAGGGGACATTCCTGCGAGCTACTGGAATTTGGATAAGCTGGTGTTTCTAAACCTCGCAGGCAACAAGCTCACGGGCTCACTGCCTGCGGCCATGGGCAACCTCACCTCGTTGACGTGGCTCGAGATGGGCTACAATCGCTTCACCACCGAGCTTCCCCCGGAGCTCGGCAATCTGCGCGAGCTGACCTACCTGGATTTCTCCTGGGCCAACATCAGCGGACAGATCCCCCGCGAGCTCGGCATGCTCGCCAAGCTCGGGTCGCTCTTCCTCTACAGCAATCGGATCTCGGGCCCCATTCCGGCCGAAATCGGCAACATGTCCGGCATTTGGAGCATTGATCTGTCGAACAACAGTCTGAGCGGCAGCATTCCGCCCGAGCTGGGCAACTTGAAGCAGAGCCGATTCATCAGCCTCTGGGCCAACAATCTCACCGGCAGCATCCCGCCCAGCTTCGGCGACTTCCCGCATCTGCTCACTCTGCTGCTGTGGAACAACTCGCTCAGCGGCAGCCTGCCGCAGCAGCTGGGCCTGGCGTCCAGCCTCGGCCACATCGACGTGTCCTCGAACCAGCTGAGCGGCAGCATTCCTCCCGAGCTGTGCAAGTCCGGCGCGCTCTGGCGCCTCATTCTCTTCAACAATGCCTTCACGGGCTCGCTGCCTGCGGGCCTCGCGAGCTGCCCGAGCTTGTACCGAGTGCGCATTCAGAACAATCAGCTGACTGGCGCCATCCCGGCGGGGTTCGGCTTTCTGCCATACTTGGCCTTTCTGGACCTGTCGAGAAACCAGCTGAATGGCAGCCTCCCGGCCGACATCGTCAGCGCATCGGAGCTCACATTCATCGACCTGTCGTTCAATCGCATCACGGGCACCTTCCCGTCGAGCGAGGCGGTGTGGACATTCTACAATCTGCAGGAGTTTTACGCCGCGGGGAATGCGTTGTACGGGAACATTCCGCCGCAGTTCGGCAATGTGTCGTCGCTGGGCGTGCTGGATCTGTCGGGGAATGCGTTCTCGGGGCACATCCCGGCCTCGCTGTGCAATTGCTCGCGGCTCGTCAATCTGAACCTGAGCAACAACAGGCTCACGGGCGAGATCCCGTCGCTGTTCGGCAACATGATGGATTTGGCTTCGCTCGACCTCTCGCGGAACGAGCTGGACGGCGAGATCCCCACCACATTGCAGAACTTGTCGACTCTGGACGCCTTGAATGTCTCGTACAACAATCTCGAAGGCCCCGTGCCGACGTCGGGCGTGTTCCAGTTTCTGAATGCCAGCTCGTTCATCGGCAACCCGGCCTTGTGCGGGCAGAAGGTGCTGCGGCAATGCACGGGCGAGGAGCATGGCGGCAAGAAGGGCAAGAACGGGGGCGCCGTGGCCTTCATGATCGCCGGCATATTTCTCGTGGCCTTGGGAGTTCTGATCGTCGGCATCTGCTGCTTCTACAAGCAGTACCACTGGCAGATTCGCCGAGTGCTCAAAGGAGGCACATCGACGCCCACCGAGTGGCCGTGGACTCTGACGACCTTCCAGAGGCTCAACTTCTCGGCGGACGAGGTGGTGGGATGTCTGAAGGAGAGCAACATCATCGGCATGGGTGGGGCCGGGACGGTGTACAAGGGCGAGTTTCCTGGCGGGGACATCGTTGCGGTCAAGAGGCTGTGGGGCAGTCGCAAACCCGAGCACATGGGCAAGGACCAGGGGTTTTCGGCCGAGGTCGACCTGCTGGGAAGTATCCGACACCGCAACATCGTCAGATTGCTCGGGTTCTGCTCGAACCACGAGACGAATCTGCTGATCTACGAGTACATGCCGAATGGCAGTTTGGGCGAGCTCTTGCACGGCTGGAAGAACAGCGCCAAGCGAGATGGCACTAAGGTGAACATCCTGGCCGATTGGTTGACGAGGTTCAACATCGCCATGGGCGTTGCGCAAGGCCTGGCCTACCTGCACCACGACTGCTGCCCTCCCATCGTCCATCGCGACGTCAAATCCAACAACATTCTTCTCGACACGAACATGGAAGCTCGCGTCGCGGATTTCGGCCTCGCCAAGCTGTTCGAGAGCAACCAGTCCATGTCTCTGGTCGCCGGATCCTACGGCTACATTGCCCCAGGTCCGATATTGCCCTCTCTCTCTCTCTCTCTCTCTCTCTCTCTCTCTCTCTCTCTACTCAATCCCATCGAAAGTGTTTTTAGCTGTTGATTATCTCCTGAAATCATATCCCCCACGCAATGGTGCTCTCCGGCGGCCGACTCCGGCCTTGTCTCACAACCTTTTTCGTTGCCTGTGAGACAACCCTTGGCCCCGCTTCGGCCAAAGACGGGGCCGGGGTCATCATCGTCCCATCGCTGCGGATCCGGGCTTGTGTCGTGCGTGGAATGAGTAGCGTCATGCTATAATGTCAACAACTTTCCGCAGTTTCAATGTCAACAGCTTTCTTAGAATTGGCAGTGGAAAGAAGCTCCGCTAGCTTTCGGGGTGTGGGTGTGGGCCCCGTGAGCAATTTCGGGGGCTCGCGTCATTGGGCTGGATTGTTTGATCCTAGTTTATTCATTTTCCCGAGTTTTCGTTTACTGATTGCCCTTATCTGTAGTGTGCCATGGCTGGCTTGGCCGCGGAGTGTGGAGAGGAGTGAGTCGTGGAGGAACAGAATCACTCACAGACCTGGATCTACAAATGTTGTGCAGAATACGCCTACACCTTGAAAGTCGACGAGAAGAGCGACATCTACAGCCTAGGAGTAGTGCTGCTCGAGCTGCTGACAGGAAGGCAGCCCGTGGAGACGACGGACTTCGGCGAGTCCGTGAACATCGTGGAGTGGGTGACGCGGAAGATGGCATCGAAGGAGGGATTGCTGGAGGTGCTGGATCCCGATGTGGGCTCCGGGTGCTACTCCGTGCAGGAGGAGATGATCATGGTTCTGCGCATCGCCCTGCTGTGCACCAGCCGCCTGCCCAAAGATCGCCCGTCCATGCGAGACGTGGTGACCATGCTCTCGGAAGCGCAGCCGCGGCGCAAGACAGCGGCCAACGAGTCGAGCTTCCGATCGCGCTTCGTCTAGATGATGATGCTCCCTCCCGCCCGCCGCTGTCACCACACTCTGCGCCCTAAGCACTCGCCGCCGCTGCAGTGCAGTGCGGTCCTTCTGACACCCGGGCGGCGAGCCAGACGCACGTAAGAAAGACGCCACCCACACTCATGAGACGAGCCGACGACGACGACGACGACGACGAAGCGCCGATGAGAAATCGTGTACATACAGCCCGGAACGCATGAGAGAAAGGTAGTGGCTGGCTGCATGGAGAGCTCAGTATCTCAAGCTTTGTAACATATCTGTGGAGGAGGGTAATACTACATAGATAGATTCCAGCTGTGTCCCGAGAAAGGAGTTGATTCGGTGGTGGTGGTCATGATCCTCGAGTTGAAGGCCCTTTTTACTTCAGAGGTGAACTAGTTTCTCCGGGCACGCCCCCATATCATACAGGCAGACAGAGCGCCAGCGCAGCGGTCCATGCTCGCCCGCTCGCTCGCTCCACGAGGAAGTAGCACAGAATGCCTTGGGTAGTTTAGTAGGGGCCCGCGCGAGCCAGCGAAATCGGTGCTAGCTAGACTGTCGGCTGCGCTCCCCGAGTATGAGATCTGCGACGTCTTTTGTATGTCGATGATTGCGGTCTAGCACATCGAACCTGTAGTAGGCCAGGCTAAAGCAGAGGCATCATTCTAGGAACATAGTCGACTGCAGGACGGAGGAAGAAACCCAAACTTTCGATTCTGTAGTATTTTTGGGCAACAAGAAAGAGACTGCTGCAGCGTTTCTCATGTACACACACAACTTTTTTCAGTATCAAGGAATATACTTCACCCATCTCTGCCTGCTGCCTCCAATTGCCCCACTCGCGCATTTTGCTGCGCTTTTGCGCCCACCACGTGGAGCGGAATTGCATTCATGTCCGCCGGGTACCTTTTCGTTTTCTCATTCCGTGTGTCCGCCCCATGTCCTCGGAGTAGAGTCGCCACGCCGTCTGCCTCGGTCGGGTCGGTGAGCATGGTGCCGCGCGTACTAGACAGCCGTTTCTGGGGCTTCGGCCTTTCGAGGATTACGATAATCGTGCAATAATGCGCCTAGTTTTCATCCCGGGGTCATCATGAGAAAGGACAGGATCCCGGTCCATTCTTTAAATCGGTACCGCCGGGCTCGACCATCTCGACCATCGTGGCATATCGCATACGGATTGTCAAGAGGAGAGAGAGAGGGAGATTCCGAAGGATATACCTGGTCTCAAATCTGGAGATTAGCTTCTTCCTACAAATTCTACTATCATTCGCATGTACTTGCCCTGCAATCATAACTGAACGATTTGCTGAATTGATCCATCCATTCGAGGAACATGTCTGTCTGCGAGTGTCGGCCTCGAGCATCAAGTGATATGCTCTGCGTGCCTGCCTGCGAGCCGTCGTAACTTCTACTTACAATCAGCGTATCAAACATGCGCTTCGGCTCGTATGGTTCGAGCGAACGCACTCTGGTCCGCTCGGTACTGCCCGCTGCAATCATCACTCTTGCCCGGAAGATTCCACGGTCGTTTTCCCAATGAAGAAGACAGAGAGTAATCAAAATCAAACCCAATCTAATGTAGTCTATAATATAATATATAATTGTTATAATTACTCAATGCAGATCTAAGCACAGTGACCAACGTCTCATCACTCCATGCAAACATGCAGCCAGCGGCCGTCCGTCCATCCTTAAGTTCGCACGAGCCAGCCTCCTCTTTCCACTCTGCTCTTCCTGCCTTGACAGCTCGGCACACACACTCGTCGACGAAGCTCGGCACACACTCTGTGTACGGGTCTGTCCTCGTCCTCGTCTGCTGCTCCTCGTCCCGCATCCGTTCGTAAAGCACGAGAATTTATACCATTCCCGGGATCCTTCGTTCCATTTCTACAGTAGAAGAGCGAGTCAACCGTAAAAGCAATCACTATGCATCGTACCGTCCTTCCTTCCTTTCATGCTTTGAATCTCAGTATTGCCGGTGCTGGTATATATCTTCTTCGTTTTTAGACCCTTCTAGCCTTCCGTAGTGCATGCGGAAATGCGAATTTCACATAATGATTCCACTCGTTCCTCCTCCATGCGCTACGCTCGTCGTACATTCTTCCGAATCCACATTATGTTCATTCATTCCCGAAAGAATGAAAGAAGCATTCGCATACTACTTTAGTGCGATGGAATTCAGAATAGTATTTCTCTTCTGCATCCACTGTGAACCTTCATCGAACCTTGAAATACTTGTTCCTTCTTCCTTCCTTCTTTCCTTGACATAGATTTCTGTCTGGATGCAGTATATTGGTGAACAGTTTTCATCATTTTACTTCACTCGAGGAGCGTGTTTAAAGTCTTTTCTGATCCGCTGGGACGTGTCAGCAATAATTCACCCAACGAACAATATACTCGGCCAGCCCTTCCCGCAGACAGCACATCAAATGCGGTTTGCGGGAGATCGCCAAAGCAACAATGAGAGCAACACCCGACAATAACTGCAGTGAAGAGCGCAGCATTCTATCAAGATAGATATATCAGTGTGGCCAATTGATCACTTCGGACCTGTCGACGCTCTTCAAATTATGAGTATTTCGGTTGTATTTGGATATTTTGCATTTTGGCATTGAATACATCACGGTAAATGCTTTGTAAACTTGTCGAGTATTCCCTCGAGGTCATTTTTGATTAATGGGACACTTGATTTCTTTTGTCCTCTTGATGATTACACATGCAGATAAATATCCATGCGGATGGATCGAGTGTCAATGAAAATGTATTAAGAAAATATTGATCTCACAATATGTTGAATATTATATTTTTTGATCATCAATGAGTATCAGAATGTGCGTGTCGTGCGATTTACTTTGAAGCTCGCTATATGATTCATTTTCTGGAGGTTTCATACAAATTTATTTAATCTAAAATGTCATGTGGTTCTCTGCAATCTAAAGTTTGAAGTATACTCGTTCGATACGACCAAAAGAGTTATTTCCTTAACTTTTTTATCCGTTAAAAGTCGTACATCATCTTCATAGGACTTCACAAGGAAGAAATACTATCTTCTTCATTGTAGATCGAAAGACGTTCAGTAGAGCTAGACTTGGCTATCCCGTCTAAAGCAAATAAAACTCAAGCCCGATTAAAGAGAAATGGGTGTGTATCAGATCATAATGTACCGGAAAGATCGAAATCAAAAAAAATTTAATATATGAAAAAATATTACATGTAAGGACATCTTTTTTCTCAATATTTTCCTTTATCTTATTTGAAACTATTATCGTGCAAAATTTAAGCTAATGCAAAATGATTTAATATGTAAGAGGCTAAATTTTTGTCTAAATTTTATGCTCTAAATATTCAGAAATGCAGCATATATTTCATAACATGAATTGAAAAAGAATAATCCAACACACTTATTTATTTAAACAAAAATTCATGAATTTCCCTTTTCCTGCATATAATATTTATCTTATAAAACCAATACCAGTAGTTGATATATTTTAATTATAATGACAAAGAAAATATTCATTTAGATTATAGAATGAAATAACTAATGAAAAATATCTATAAAAAAATATGTTGACTTCAATCTTTAATACATATGTTATATAAATGATTTAATTTTATGTGAAATTAAAAAAAATGATTTCAAACTTAATGAGTTGAAATAATAAAATTGACTAGTGTGATAGATAACCAGTATTGTCATCTCAAAGAAGATATTAGATCTATTACTTAAAAAAATTCCACTATTTAATCACATAGTTTGTTTGAAAAAGCATAAATATTTGCAATTGTTACCATTGATTATGCATCATGTCAAGACTTAACTCAGATGAGTGTTAGATGAAGATAATTTAACTATGATTATAAAGACCAGCTTGCTTGTCATTATATATGAAAGTATATCTTAATATTCAGTTATCGATAAAATGTTATAAAGTAGGTATAACCAGAGAATGTTATAGTTCTCAAAGGGCCACAAACATCTATATGCACTAGATCAAGAAGGTTTGTAGCACACATGACTCCTTTGCTTGGAAATTTGGCTCTGGTAGACTTCCCTAGAGTACATGAAGTGCAGAAAGGGAGAGTTTGAAAGTAACACTTATCCAACCCTTGTACCATAAGGTGCTGCTTAATTTGTTGAATCCGCGAAATACTCATATGCCCAAGTGTAACACTTGGGCTACAATGTGTACACAAGCTTGATGTAACCATCTTTAGTTAATTAGAACTAAAGTAGAGAGAGAAGTTCATTTGAAGATAGAAATATAAACTTTGAAAATGAGATATACCAACAATGGTTCTGCTCTCCCTTATATAGCTCTCACCAACAAGTACAAGGAGGTAAGATCTTATCTTCACCATCCATCCCACTCCTAGTGGATGAATGACGAGACGAAACACCCTAACAAGCATTCGGATTGCTGACATGGCGCTCCCAACTATCACACTCAATCCTTACCTAACAGTTACAGGGATTGCTAATATGGCGCTGTCAACTAACACATATACTCTACATTTACCAAGCACGTGGTAGCTATGACTAGTGATTCCTAAAGTATCTATATTAACATTTAGAGTAACCTCTACTTTAGTTCTAATTAACTAAAGATGGTTACATCAAGCTTGAGTTATCATGGGTAAATATTCAGCTCGTCAGTGTTGACATCTGAATAATAAGCATTAGCAAAAATTGCTCTAGTATTTGAAAAAGTCGTGTCTAGCCATAAGAGTTTGTTTTCACTTATGCATCGAGCAATTATGTTGCACATCTTGTACTTCAAGATGCATTGATCACGTTTGATCAGTAAACTCCCACCATGGAGAAATAGTTGATTTATAGAGAACAGATTCTTGCAGAGAGCAGGAATGTTTAGTACATCAGATATTACTTTGTCTTGTACATCATTCTAGAAAATGAAAACATTTTCTTTGACTCGAATGTATTGACGACTGTCGTCGCCCAGCGATACAAACTCTTTTGATGGGATCTCCGTATATGTCACGAATACATTTTGATTATATGCCATGTGTTGGGTGGCATCCGAACCCACCTACCATGTTGGATCTGTACCGATTGAGTAAAGTGCAGTGACATACAACCACTGTTTGACATTTGCATTAGAATGTGTGGAAGAATTTTCTTGTGCTTCTTCTTCCGACACTCGTTTGCTAGATGGCATTGCTTCTTACAATTGAAGCACTTCATACTTTTTCGGGGAAAAGATGGTTGCGATGTAGGTTTTCTTTTCATGATGAAGATGAAGAACCTACCTCATGGGCTCTTGGCTGCAGCTTTTGCTTGGAGAGAGTCCACCCTCTTTTCTTTATGGTGTAGAGCGTTGTCATTCTGTCAGTAATCTCTTCCTTTTTGAGGTGTTCTTCTTCAAGAAAGAGACATGCTATGACAGATTGTGTATACAACCTACTTTGTTTGCATTGAGTGCACAGAGGTTCGGTATTTGATGGGAAGATTTTGAAGAACACAGATATAAGCTTCTCCATTTGGAATGATCGGTCTTACTACAGCCAACTGATTGAGAACGAGACAAAATTTTGTGATGTGTTTCGCCTCAAACTCGCGTGTCTTCATTTTCACAAAGCGCAATGAATATCTTAGTTGCAATTGCATTAGTACGTGATGCGATTTGAATACCTTTGTCAGCTTGATCCAAGCCTCTGCTACTATCCTATAGCGAGCGATTGAGGTTTGTTGATGAGACTCCAACGTCTTTAATTCATCTTCATCAATGTATCTGCTTTAGGAGTTCACAAAAAACCTCACGAATTTGAAAACTTTTACTTGAATTTCATGAATTTTAAAA